GTGTGTGTGTGTGTGTGTGTGGTGAAACACCAAAACCAATTGCCAGTATTTGAACAGCAAAACTTATCTCATCTTTCTAGAAAAATCGTACCCTTGCATAAGAGCAAGCGAAAGAAGGTCCCGTAGCATATTTTCAGGAAACACATGCAATAGTTCCATCCGTCTAAAGGTGGTCTGTGCAGTGTTTTTCTTACACACTGGCGTCTTCCCCTGTCTCCCGCTCCCTTCCACCCCATGCCACGGGTTTCATAATACCTGTTGCTTATCAAGACGTATCTGCAGCTCACCCCAAAGATCAGTGACGGGGTATGTGCGTGGGGTACACACGACCAAGAAGGCCAGTCGTAATGCGACATCCGATAGCGGTTGGGAGAGATAAATTGTAACTGGTGAGCCACACAGGGGAAGGATAGGCTTGGGAGAGGTGCTTGGATCCAGTAGAGAGAAAAATATGTAAGTGGTTTGCACATGAATAGTATAAGGGAGGTAGTGAGTGAGAGTTTTATGTACATTGCTCCCTCACTAAAAAGGCTGCTTTCTGTTAGAGCATGATTGATTTTAGGGGAGGGGGTGGAATGAATGGAGAGAGAAAGAGAGAGAGGGGGGGTAAGAGAGAGGGAGGTATAGACAGAGAAAGGGAAAGCAGGGGAGGGAGAAGGGCGAGAGAGAAAGTCTGATTACCTGTAAGGACGTCTATGTTGACATCCACCCCTTGGCGCTCATATGACCTTATGCTTTTGCGAGCGCAGTAAAACCTCTACTAAAACAAAACAAAGAGTATTGTATGTTGAGCATTACCAAACCCTTGCTCATACAATACGGGCAGTACCACAAGACAGTAAGAGCAAAGTCAACTGAAATATCGCATACCAAGGGACACAACTCACTATGTCTAAGTATGTCTGGGGTCACCTCCCTTCTGTAAATTTCCCTTTAACTGTGTGTGTCGTGCCTTAAGTCATTATATTTTTGCTATAATTTTCTTTGAACAAGTAAGGAAGTAACGGTCACTTTCATTTTTATCTAGTGAAAATTCTTCGTGTGGTGCAAGTATGACTTCAGCATCGTACAGCAAAGCAATTTGTGTGTGTGTGTGT